AAAATAAAATCTGTTCTAAAAAATGAGATATTTAAAACAGGCCATGTACAATTTTTTTAAAGTGTAGTTTTCGCGCAATTTCTGCTTAAAGTTAATGCAAGTTATAACTTTAACGAAAAACTTTCCTCAAAAATATCTCCAATTTTTTTCGACTTATGGAACAAGAGAAGCATAAGAGACGCCGAAGAAGGCGAGGGTCTTATTTTCGTTGAACTACCTGAATTCTCGAAAATTGCAAAATGCGAGAAAGTATGTGTAGTTTGTAGTACCACTGCAGTAGCACCACTAGTTTACCTTAGAAATCTAACGTACGATGCAAAATCGAGAAACCATAGGAGCTAAATACGAGTGTATGTAGGATGTGTTGCTTGGGCATGCATTTCATATGGAACTAAAAAATGAAGGATTAGATATTAAAAATTCCAGTGGACAGTGATGTGATAACCGGATGACGAATGCCCGCGTGCACAAATTACTTCATCCCGTATTCAAGAAGTTTTTAGAAAGCATTTTTTAACGAAGTAATACTAATTATCAAATAGCTCTTATTAGTGGCCTGCAGAAGCAGAAAGGCTATTGTCGCATGTGTGGAAAATAGAGCAGGAAAAATTGACTGTTCTGAAACGGCACCCCTTAATAGTGACCTTTCTTTCTTCCTCTTCGCTTGGCGTCAGCTGTGTTGTAAGCAGTGACAAATCAAACAGGAGAACATAGTTGTAACATCAGGTATGAAAATTTGCGGGTTAACGCAATCAAATATTTGAATTTTCACTCAAAATCAGAAGTATCTTATCGTTCTTGTATTTTCCCAGTTTTTCTGAGTATCTAACAAAATCACTAACACCTGTCATCTAAAGGTTGCAGGCTAGAGAGCTATTTCTTCGTGATAAAGTTTTTCATATTAATTTTTTCTCTTGTGTAAAAATGAACAATTGTTTTTTATACAAATCTACAGTTTTATTACAGTCTCTATGAAATATGACCATAAAAACAAGAGCAAAGATTCAGTCTACAAGGAATTTCGTACAAAATATTCCTATTCATCTTTTCTATACTTTAAAGCAAAATATAAGTGTGCATTCAGTTTTTCACGTATATTTCGAAATTGTTGTGGAAATTTATGGAAGTAAATAAAAAAAATTAAAGCCCATAAAATTTCCTACAAAATCCATTTTGATCCGTTTCGATTGCGCATGGTTAAAAAATACGCACGGAACGCAGAGTACTTCAGCTGGTAGTTTAGATATTTTTATCACAGATAAATCATAAAATTGAAGTGATTGTCTCTTGAAATACACAATAAAAACACAAATTTCCTTGTTTTAAGACAATCAATAGTATTTTATAAAAAAGTCTTTATTTACAATTCCACGTTTTCCATCATCAGGTGTTTACATTTTCATCTGAAATAAAAAAATGACAAACTTACGCGGTATAAATGTAGCGACGTTCAATAAGACAGCAGAGTCTTTGCTTTTGAAATATGAATAGGTAATGTTATATTAATTTACAAAGTATGAGTGTGGTTCTTTTCGGAACTTCAATGAACCGACAGTCATAAATCACAAGAGCTTCAGAGCGTTGTTGCTCCACCTACTATTTTTGTAAAATTGAATTGTTTTTTATAAAATAGTACTTACATTTCGACATACTCTGTCCGTATAATAAACAATAAAGAAATAAACTTTTTTGAAGATATTACCATTTTTTTAACTACAAAAAAAATCATCAGAGAATGAAAACAGGCCATGGGTCACACACTTTCCTTCTATTCAACTCGCCCCTTTCATCAAAAAATCGTGTGGCTTATAATTTAATTGATAGAGTAATTATTTTTCTCGTTCTAAATACCAAGCCACTGATTTGAACATTATATGTCGAATCCTCACTGAAAACAATTATTCTTTTCAATTTATCCATAAGTATCTCAATAAACCCTTGGCTACTATAAAAAAATACCAATAAACAAGCTACCTACTGTTTTTCAAACTATTGTCTCTTGTATAAAGAATATGATTTCTTCGTTTTTAATAACAAATATACAGTTTCATAACCAATCTACAGTTCTATTCCGATCTTTATGAAATTTTGCATACGCGACCTTCAAGACAAAGAAATGTCATTTTGCTGGGGATTTTAATGCATGGGCCACTAAGTGGGCAGCAGGGAAACGAACCAACGAGGGATGGCTCTCCTGGACAGCCTTGCCCAGTTAGAAGTCTACCTTTGCAAGGCGGGTAACAACCCGGCCTTCGCCATGGATGGTCGCAGTTCCATCGTTGACTTGACATTCACGTGCCATGCTGGACGGATTATGGCTTGGGAGGTTAGCGATCATTATACACATAGCGACCACCAACTCGACATACCATCCTATGGTATAGGAAGTCAGGGAAAAATGCAGGTTGAGTTTTGCAAATAGGAGCAACATGGAACCACAGGTCGTTCGATCGTGATTCTTCGCTGCCATGATGAAGGGCAACATTATGCTGATCAAAGTCTGAGGATATTGTGGGAACTGTAATGAACATGGTCTTTGACGCTTGTGATGCGTCAATGACGGAAAGCATCAGGAAAGAACGCCGTCCTCCAGCGTATTGCTGGACTGACGAGATCGTGGAACTTCGCAGAGAATGCCACCGCACACATATGTTGGCGGAATGCGGATGGGGTCGCCCAAATTGACACTCAAGTAGAGAACCATGGCCGCCGAAGAGCTTTCACAAAAGCCATTAAGATCAGAAGGGTCGCTGCTGGAGAGAGCTAAGCAATGAGTTGGATGCTGACCCCTGGGGTCGTCCGTATAAGTTGGTAACAGCCAGGCTCAAGACTCTGTCCAGGCCAGAACCGACTAGCCCGATCTTCTTGGAGATTGTTGATACCTTTTTTCCTTGTCAGAGAGTTGTGCTGCAGCCTTTTCCCTAATCCTCTTCAAGATCTACACGAGGTTCCGTCGGTTTCATTACACGAACTGTCCAGCGCTTGCCATAAGGTTCAAGTTTGCAAAGCTCCCGGCTTGGATGTGGTGCCAAATTTTGCTAGTAAGACTCGGCCAGATATATTCTTAAAGGCCTATAATGCGTGCGTGAGGGGAATTTGCCTCGTCGCTGGAACCAACAGCGAAGCACGATAAGCCTCCTAGCGACCCGTGAGCATATCGGCCTCTATGTTTACGGGATACTGCAGGCACGGTGTTAAAGAGGATCATGTGCCAACAGATTCAAGACTACACGAAAGGTCCACAGGGACTTCCGATAATCAATATGGCTTCAGGAAGGCGAGATCCACAGTAGACGTAATGAGGGCCGTCGTCGACAGCACACGTAAGGCTATTGAGGGCAAACGAAGAACAGGCACAAAGAAGTATTACGCTATTGTTACCCTCGGCGTCAGGAACGCATTTAATATGGCAATGCGGAGTTCCATACTTACATTCAAAAGCCTGGGAGCTTCGAATTACATTATGAAAATAGAATTTACTTTGATGAAAGGACCTTACTGTACAAAACAGGAGTAAAGACCTAGTATGTCGGGAGGTGTCCTGCAAAGCTCGGTACTTGGCCTGCTGTTGTGGAATTTTATGTGACTCCATTTTGAAGCTCCAGCTGCCGGATGGTGCAAGGGCTATCGGATGTGCTGGCGATGTTGCGCTGGTCGTGGTCGGCAAATACACTGAAGAGGTCACGCACGTTGCCAACGAGGCTGTAGCTAACGTCGGGGGGAGGGGGGATCCTGATAGCCGAGTATAAAACAGTCGCTGTCTTTGTGACAAGCAGGAAAGTGAAGGATGGTACTACTTTCAATGTAGGGGGTAGTAAAATAGCCTCCCTGCACTCGCGAAGATACTTCAGAGTCCAGATTGACGCCAGACTGAATTTCGCCGAGCACATGCATATAGTCCGCCAGAAAGCATTCCGCATGGCCTACGCCTTTGCACGAATTATGCCTAACATGGGGGGGGGGGCGCCGGCAAAGTAGCCGGAGGTTACCGTCTAGCGCATTCTGCTCTACGTAGCCATTTGGGCTGATACCTTTAGGACCCGATCGTACCCCCGCGGTGAAAATTAAGTGCATAGAAAGTTCCCCTCTAGAGAGGCCAGGGCATTTCGCACGGTATCGTATGACGTCGCGTGTGATAGCTGGCATACCCCCTACAGACCTCGTGGTACAAGAAAGGGCCAAGCTTAACAGAGTAAGCGAGAGGGAGCTAAAATTAGGAGCGTTATCATAATGAGAGGGACGTGGCAATGGCGATGGGTTTTATCATCCAGTGGTAAATGGACATTTCTTATTACAGACGTGAAGAAGGATATCATTAAATTGGCCTAGTTGTTAACGCGGCATAGGTGCTACCGTGCATACAAGCTCCAGTTCCGGTTGGTCGATGACTCATTGGTTGAAGATGTGGGGCCACGCTTCGTTGAGGGAAGAACTCCACAGACCCCTCATGCAGGCAGTGACTCTTAAAACCATCGTCACTAGGATGGTGGTAGACACCTACGTCGCAATCGTTTTAAAGAAGCTTCAGGTAGATGCGAAGGAGTATCCCGCGTAATTGACATAGAGCGATCTGCCGATTTGCCCTTCCCGTGATGCAATGCCTAACGGCAGTTCCGTGGGAAGGGAATCGGAGGAATGGGAGAGGTTATTATTGGGTAAAGCACCGGCTAGCTGTGAATACCACACGCTGCGGAGTGGGTACTCCGCAGCATCTTTGGAAGATTCTCCCGTCCTCGTAAGAAAGAGGAACACGCGGCGGTGTTGAAGTTGTGGGAATGCGACTTGTGAACTATGCAATCCTCAAGCATACATGTGGCACTTCACATATATATTTCGATTTTCACTCTCCATTACGTAGAGTTGAATTAAACTGTTTACAAAATACGATTCCATATTTGCATTTGTGCTAAATGCTGGGGTAATATCCGAAAATAATGAAAAATCACGGTTTTCAAGGATTCCAAGTTCGCAGGTCACATTGTTCAACTGATTTAAATCTTGGTTTATGAAATTATTTAAAGATTAATATCTGATGGTATCATGTTTTCACAACAGCATTTATAACATCACATTAAAAAATTTCCTCCTTAAAAAGTATTTTAATTACAGGATTTGATACATTTTAATATAAAAATATTACATCTAATAATGTTGATTATTTAACAAAAATTAAAGATGCCTCGCATACCTAAAATTATTAGGTGCATGTGGCCCTGCCCATGACACATTTTTGATTATCTTCTCCCACACGTAACAAGCTGTGTTGTTACAGTTGATATGCTTTTCTGCAAGCTATCAGAAGTGTACAATTAATTGTAGACACCTGCAGATTCACCCCCCTGTAACCACAGAGCACTTGCAAGGTCCACAGCAGTGAGCATCGAGTGAAGTTGGCCTCTTTGGTGAAGAAATATCAGTTGGTAAAATTTTATTTCCCTGCAATATTCCCCCTTTCTTGGGTGAAATTGAACAGCATAATTATTCTACTAACAGAATTTTGATACAATCTCTCTTAGCATCATGGATGCATTTTTTAATACAGCTACTAAGTCTATGCTTCATAGGAGCTATGTTCGTTAAAGAAAATTATTATACATCTCATGACCATAACAATGATTCATCAAAATAGTTTGAGTATTCATAATATGAATTTTTTCCTCCCTGGAAGATTCGTTTCAATAATCAGAGTCAAGATGTTCCTGTCCTATAAAATTTAGTTTTAGTTTAATCGAGGAAGTTTAGTTGAGTTACCTGCTTATTCGCACTGGGCCAGAGATGTAAAAATGCATGCAAATTTTCAAATTTCAGTTTTCAATATTCCAAAAAAGTTACCACTTTTCAATAAGATTATTATCTACATTACATAATTAATCACACTCAAAAATATCCTCTTCAAAAAGTATTTTTATTACAGGATTTGATACACTTTGTAAAAAAGGAAATAAATTTGTGTATGCAAGATAATGTGTACATCGAGTGTAGGTATATACATATACACATGCAAAATATGTGTATGATCACTTTTGTAATATTTTTTTGCATTATGTACAGAATAAATTTTATAAACAGTAAACAGGCAATTCACAATTAAAATTAAGAAAATATTAATGAAAGAAAATCCTTTCTTATTGGGGCAATACAGTAAGAAAAATATTTTGTACAAAAGATATTTTTTGAAGTCAAGCTTATATGCAAGAATAATAAGTTATAATCTTGCATGACATGAAGAAAATTTGAAATAAGCTCAAAATGAATAGGAAATATACAACAATAACAACTATACCTATGATTGGTATTCAACTTCATATTCTTGAATGTCATTTGTCACAATTGTTATTTCAGAAAATTTAGGGATCATCTCCTCAGATGTGATAGTAACAGTTTTTAATTCCTCATTGCCATCTTTAACAACTAATCCTTCTTTTAAACTGATAAGTTCTGCATGAGGTCGTGCATCTACTTGGGCTTTGGCTAATGTCAATTCTGCCTTCCCTAGTGAAGCACATTGTTCCATGTGCATCTTGTAGTTCATTTTACGACTGAAAAGCTGCCCACAATTAAGGCAAGCCATCCCTGTCATGCGGACATTCTTCTTGGAGTGAGATCGTGTATGTTTCAACATATCTCCCTTCTGGGTAAAGCTGCGACTACAGATGGGGCAGGAGTAAGGGCGCTCTCCTGTATGAATCCGCATATGCACTTGCAAAGCTTCGCGGCGTCGGAAGAGTTTTTTACACACTTCACATACAAAGGGCCTATTGTCAGTATGTATCCATGTGTGCTGGCGCAAATTCGCACTACACCGGAAACCCACCCCACACTGCCCACATTTATATGGTCGTTCCCCAGTGTGAATACGTTCATGACTCTCTTTGCCTACTTTGGAATTGAAACCTTTTCCACAAAACTGGCATGCATGTGGACGTTCACCCGTATGCAGCCTCATGTGATAAGTCAATGCTGGCTTTTGAGTGAAACGCTTATTACAAATCTCACACTGATAGGGCTTTTCCCCAGTGTGAACACGCATGTGCAAACTCAATGACAATTTTGATGATAAAAACTTGTTGCACACTGAACACTGATAATTATCTGGAGCCGATACAGTTTTTTCACCTTCTGGAAGCCCATCTTTCTTAATTTGATCCCATTCTTCATTTGTATGAGACTTCCTGTGATTTAGAAGTCCAGCTACAGTGGGAAATGTTGCCTTGCAAACACGGCATGTTATTATTTTTTCCGTTGAGTGTGTTTTGTAGTGTTTGGTGAGATTGCCTTTGCGAATGAAACCAATAGAACAAATGCCACACTGATATGGTCGAACACCCAAATGAATGGGCTCATGTTGTCTCAGTTTTTCTTGACTGGGAAAAGATTTAGGACACTGACCACACTGGAAAGTTTTCTCTGACAAGTGAACTTTCATATGATCTTTTACAAGCATCTTGTTGCGAAATTGAAGCCCACAAATATTGCACTTTGAGAGGTCTGTTTCCAAATAATCTTCATGGCTATGCATATGTGCACGCAGAGTGGCCTTTGAAGCAAATTTCTTGTGGCAAACAGTGCAAGACCACGGTCTTGTCTCAGCATGTTCTGATGCACGATGAATATCAAGACTACCCCGGAGCATAAACCGTTTCCCGCATTGCTTGCACAAGAAAGGCTTTTTCGCTCTGTGTTGGGTCATGTGCAGTTGCAAAGAGTCCTTGCGTGGAAAAACTTTTCCACACTTTTCACATGCAAATACAAAGCCTCTTTTGTGAGTTTGTTTATGTACTGTTAGTTTGTAAGCATCTTTGAATTTCTTATTACACACTTTACAGGAAAACTCCCCATTTCTTACAATTTTCCCAGTTTTTTTCCGGCACAAGTGTGCCTTGAGATCCCCTGGTGTTGCCAATTCTTCCTTGCATTCTGAACATGCGAACCCCTTGCCTTGACCATCTGATCGTTTTGAGACTATATTTTGGACAGCTTCCACAATTCTCTGTTTTGTGCCTGTGTCTACAGTACCTAAGGCTTCGGTGATCTTTGACTCAAACTTAGGAGACCCAGATGACAGATCACCAGAGACCTCTTTGCCTGATGTAACAACGCAAAATTCTGCAATACCAGCAACCTGCAGGTCAGGATTCACATTACCAGGATATTTCTAGAAGAAGAACAAGAAAAAAATAAAAAATAAAAATAAAAGCTCATGAAAAACAATTTCTAGATAGAATTGTACATAATTACAGACTAACTTTCATTCTTGATAATCACTATGAAATGGATATGATTCACTTGCCTGAGATGATTTTGATGTAGGAGGCGTCTCCAATACTTGTTCTGGAGCATATGGTTGTACAACAGACGTATTGTTGGTATTTGGTGTCTCAACTTTCTTCTTTGACTTCAAATACTCCAGTGCTTTGGCAATACGAACAGATGGCGAAAGCTGAGAACTATTGGAATGCACCAACTTCAAAACCACAACTTTCTTCTTCACTTTTGGAGCAGTTTCTGCCTGAAAAAACAAAGCTTGAAATTAACAAAAATTACTTCTCTTTAATACATCTAAAACCTTTCCAGAATGGTTCTACAAAGAGACATGTAATAACTCATTGACATTACTACTATCCTCTGATTAAATTCTAGTGAATCCTCACATCTGATATGTTGGTTTGTAGTTACCCAATCGGGAGCTTGAATACAAAAAGCAAGACATAGCAAAGCTGATTGGATAACCATGCCCAACTGATCAAACATCAGTAGTCACTACAATGAAATTGGAGTATAGTATTAATTTACATGAGTATATATACCAGATAATCAGTTTAAAACAAGACCCTGCTCTTCGAGGCCTTGCACTAGTTTTGCTCCACTTCTCCTCTTACATGGAGAAGTTGTTATTCTAGAGACCTGTAATTCACTACATTTTACCAACATTTCTGACATTGACACCTGTCAATTTAGCAATCATTTCCTCCACCTCATTCTGAGTCATTGTCATTTTTTTTAACCACGATTGCTTCAAAAACATGCCCAACCACTTTCTTCACCCCAATTCCTAGGGATTCCCTTGCAAATGTTTCAAAACCGAACTGTTCGGTTCACATATTTCGTTTAATCCCGTAATAAAAATCAATGTTACTTAAGGCAATTAGCAAACATGTTTAACTAACAAGACAAATACATCATACACTTGTAAGACCTTCTCGTTCAAGAACGATTCTGCCACTTTCAAAAATCTGTTGCCGAAACTGTGGTATCATATGAAACAGGAAAGACACTGAAAGCCACATCCCATGTTCATGGAGGCACGGAGTCGATGGTTAGATGAATATTGTTGTTAAGGTCACGCTCTATGCCAGATTTCACTTCAAGTCAGAAGAAAACATTATTTTGACTGTTGGTATATGGAGATGAAAAATGAATTGATTTAGCAAGGACCCTAACTCGTATAGTGCACAATGCCCTGAAAATGAGTCTAAGAGTCTGTTGGCAAATGAGAACGACCAACAACCATGTACATTTATTTATATGCCCAGTAAAGTAAGAGGGAACAAAAAACTAGTTTCTAACTGAAGTCAAGAAAATATGGAAAAAATGAAGTAAAAAGAAGGTTGACTAAATAATTCAATTAAAGTAATTAAACAATTATGATTTTTAGTTGATCAAAAGACCCAATATAATATAATAAACCTAATCAGATTATAAAAATCGAAACATCATTTTCCACTTTATCTTTGAAGATTGTTCAATTCTGTATCATAGCTGTTGACAGTGACCACTGATATAATAAATAGAATTGAAAGTTGTAACTTACCTTTTCAGTAACAACATTTGAGTCATCTTCTTTTGGTTCTTCCTTAACCTCTTCAACCTTCTCTTCAGCAACTGACTGAAACTATAAATATTAATTACAGTTTGTTAGTAGAATAATAAGATTCTTGGATTTGAAAGTGACAGTAAATATTTCACTACTACACCAATGAGTTGTGATACGTTTTAAAATAAAAGTAAAGAGATTCATTGCCCAATTCACTAAATAGTTACAAAGAAAAAATGAATATAGGAAAATCAATGTTTTATTAACACATTGTTCATATAAATGACTCACTTTAATATAAGTATGAAATTGGAACACAGACGGGATACTGTACTATTTAGAACTTTTGGCCCACAAACTGAACTTAAATTAAAGACACGAAAACTTAATTTGATTGAGGTAGAGAAGCAGTCTCCAACTTTCCTTACATTCAATTAATACGTCAGGAGTTTCCATGCAAAAACAAACATGTCCAACGAAAAAAAAATTGAATTAGCATTGCAGTAATACTAATGACCGTCAGCTGCATCTTCTGTCCTGATGTGGAGAAGCAAAAGTAAATGTATACCTAATTATTTCACTTATAAACATACGAGGTTCAGGCAAAATCCAACATGTCCACAGCATTGTTGCAAGCAAGAAAGAACATGTCCATGTAACCAATAGGATGACAATATTCATGATCATGTGACTGATCATGCTGCATGGTTCATTTCGTCTGTGACGCCTTCACAACAGTGTCCTATTTAATTTATTAAAAGATTGGGATCTAAAGGACACAAACACTTTTAGTAATATGTGTGTAAGAATGTACAGTACATCACAATTGTGAAGCGAATAATTATTCAGAAAAAAAATTAAGGGAAGAAGATGTATCAAAGTTATTCCACAGCAATATTCTAGATTTGATGAAGTTCCTGCTTTGACTCTTTGTAAATGTGGTTTTCCATTAATAAATATGGTACAATTTATCCTTCAGCAGGTGTCACTTAAAAGGGGTATACTATTGGCAAAGAGATCTAAGCTAGCAAGGTAATTGACTGAACTTTTAGGAGATAAATACTTCAGATACTTCTACCCTGGAATGGTATTCTCCCCCCCTTTTTTATGGACCAATACTGAAAATCAAATTGTAATGGATAGCCACAAACTGAAAGATATTTGTGATTGTTCCGAAGATGATCGTGGCTGGCACATACAACTTTTAATTTCTTTTTAGTTCTTTGTTATTTTTTTAGAGGCCAAAAAATGGTTACATTAGCTACAAAAATTGTTGTAGTGGTTTTGTTTGCTTGGAAAAATAAAATATTTGAATGCAAACTGTGGCAAAATAATATTTTCCAATCAAATGTGATGATAATAGTAGTCATATTTCATGCAAAAGCAAACATGTCCGCAGGTATACCCGATTTGAAAACAGTATACACAGACTATCGTAACAATACTGGCAAGCAGTACAGCATATTGCATTGTTTGAAAAGGTGATAAAACAGTTTTTTAATGTTTCTGAAAAATCTGATTTCATGAACATGTTATTTGGATGAACGCTCCTGATAAGTGCAAAGGAACAAAAAAGACTATCAGAAAATATAAAGATTATTATAAGTATTTTGCAAATTGTAAATGAAGGCTATTTGAATTAGATTGGTTGAACAGACGATGTAACCTTAACTGTGAGGTTGACATTGTTCTAGGGACCTCTACAAGGGTTCAATGCTATTCCAGACATGATGAGAAGGGTGCAAATATTCTATCCTTTAGAAGGTCATGAGGATGGGTATATTTCAATCTCATTATATAGTCCAGTACATAATGGACAGTCAAGAAAAAGTTTGCAAATAGAGTGTTTAAATAAATAATCTACATAACTTAGAATACATACATACCTCAGGGGTATTTTGGGTTTGTAAACATTGAAGAAATTTTGAGTCAGCATCTAAACATGCCACAATTAACTCGTGAGTAATGTTCAATTTGTCTATACACGCATGGCACATCTGCAATGGCAAGTCATCACTTGGGGATACCTACAATATACGAGGATACAAATTAGAGGAACATTTCATTAGACAACAAAACAATTATAATAGTTTTTGTGCATCTTTCTTGATTTACTTGATATTCTACGAATAAATTTTTTCAATTAAAAGATATGCAACTAAATAAATAGATTCATAGATCACTTCATAGAAAAGGGAACACAAATTACAGTAGCTTAGAATATTAAGTCAAAATTATATTTATATTTAAATCATTAAAATATTCTCTTTCCATGATCTTCCCTAATCCACTGTGGGATGCCATGTGTGGTGGTGTCTGGCAGGGTGTGGTGAAAAGCAGTACTGTAATGTGCATATGTATGGAGTATGTGCCATATTTACCACCTCATAACCAAAATAAGCCAGCAAGAAAGAAGTTTTTTACAAAAAGTTCAAAGAAAAGGAAAAAAATGCCCACGCTGGGATTTGAAAACTGGCCTGTATGTTCAGGAGGCAACAACACTTCCTCTATGCTGTGGATTCTTGTTTTACACCTCCAAGGAGTTTCAAATGCTTTAATGAACTTTTAATGTATATCTGTTTGTGTTTATTTATTTGTGCATTCTGTTCAAAGCCTGTGGGATTTACCCATTAATGAACTTATTGAACAGTAGGCATCACAAAACAACAAATGCTGTGATTGTAAACAAAACAAGGCAGACAACAATCCAGACCAGGAATAATTGCAAGACAATCAGAACAAAGAAAATATGCAAGTAAAGAGTTCATTGCTCTAGTTTAAAAGCAAAAAGATGTGTCAAAACATTGCAGACTGAAAACAAATGTGAATACACAAGCCAAGAATTCAACTTATTCTTGAATATAAGATCAGCAGAAGAAGCAAGGAATTTCCCTATTATTTAAGAAGAGATATGGGAGAAACAGGAAAAACAAAAAGAAAAGTAATGTCAGATTCATTAACCCTTTGACTGCTATGAGCATGCTTGAATATCTGGCATGAGGCATGCTATGAATGTGTGCTGTGCTTTGCTATGCTATCCTATGAATGTGTTTGCGCATCTGGGACTTGCAGTGCCCTCACTGCTATTGGCATACGAGTGTTCATGCTGAGGTGTACATTATGTAATTTCAACAAGATCACTTATTATAGTTCTGTGAGTGGGATGACATCTGGGATTGTCTAAAGGTTCTAAGACTTCCTCTCATTGCATATAGATGGAGCTAGGGACAATTACAGTCAAAGGGATAAAGAACCAACCAACCTGAAGAAGATGAAAGAATTACTTTAAAGATTTTATTAATAATTATTAGAGAAATTAATGATTACCTTTAGACTAAAGAAGAAAAATTAATCAGAGGAAAGAGGACATTACACTGTTACTGTCATTGAGTGGTCTTCACCAGGAAATAAAACTTAAACAGCAAGACCTAGACGTAATGACTCCTGGGCTTTGACAATGTGTAATCACTGTACGTTTCAGATAGCTTCCCTATAGATTGAATGGCAATAGGAATAGAGGCAGACTGACAAGAAGATGGCACCAGCAGGAACATGTCACCACATGAAAGAATACTGCTTTTCTAGCCAATAATAGTGCATGAGCACTGTTCCTAACCTGAGGGTGTTGGTGTTGGTGGTGGTGATGTAATGACTCTCGGGCTTCGACAATGAGAAATCATTGTGTTTCAAATTCAGATATTTCACTGTATTATCGTCCTGCAAGGATCCCATCTTCATCCTGCCACCGGATTATGCCCACTTGCAGTTCAAATAAATTTATCTTAAAAATGTAAATCTATTACTTTTTCATGCTTTAAAGTTCCCTCTGTACATGACTACTTGACGAATTCAGTTTCACTTGAGAAGGAAGATGTTATCAGAGGTTTAAGAGTTATTTTTGAATCAAAAATGACATTTTCTCACCATATAGATCACACAACTTTTACAACACACAAGTCTTAATCAACTACTGGGCTTCATTAGAAAGACTTCTAATGAATTACATGACCCTCATACATTGAAATTGTTGTATTTAATGCTAGTAAAACCTATTTTGATGAATTCATTATTAGTATGGTGCCCTTCTTTGCAAACCCATGTTCAAAAATTAGAAACTGACCAACATAAATTTTTTAGAACTGCACCAAATTATCTATATTTACCCAATCCACTTGAGTACTATTTTGAATCTGTTAAATATTCCTCTTTCCTCATTGAGAAACTTATGATCTACACTTTTCACACAAATTAGTCCACTTTTGCTGGAACAATTGAGGTTTCGTGTTCCCTCTGCTTTAAGAAGAAATTATATTTTTTTTGTTTAAACTATACACTGCTGTTTATACATAGAATAATCAGATTTCATGGATGAGTAAATTAGCAAATAATCATTACATTGATCTCTGGGAACCTTCCCATCCAAAGGAGATGAGAAAAATAAGCTGTTACTTTTTAATTGATATATAATTGTATTATTGAAATTGATATTATGAGATTAGTTATAACATTGTTACTTCATTAGCTATCCTACTCGCATGTTAAGACAATATTACATATATTGGATGAGAATCCGTAAAAATAAGCTGCCAATCATTTCGACTATCTGAATTTAAAAATACAATTTTGAAGATTTTTTCATTAAGAAGAATCTCCATCTTCAATAATGAATGTTTAGGAGGGGATCAAAATAATTTTGAATTATTGCCATTTTCTAAATTGCAGGTTACACTGAAAACTGGACAAGGACAATATTTATAAGCTGGTTTTGCTTTTAGGAGCAAAGAAAATTATTGGAACCATTCTGGGGCCTCTACTTTAAAATGTTGGGGCTTCTTGCAAAGTACCACTAAAATTAAAAGATCAATTTCAGATTCAGGCCATGACAAGTCAGAAGAATACCCAATTTGGTGAAAATCTTGGTTATGGGTAAGGCACTAGTATTGTTCAGAGATAAGTTGCAAGGGAAGAAAGGAAGAAAGAGAAGGGAGAAAGGAAAGAGTGGGAGGGAAGGAAGGAAAAGGAGGGAAAGGAAAGAAGGAAAAGGAGGGAAAGAAAGGAAGGAAAAGGAGGGAAAGGAAGGAAAGGAAAGAAGGAAAAGGAAATGCAGGCAGGCAGGCAGGAAGGAAGAAAGGACGGAAGGAAGGAAAAAAAAAAAAAACTTTTATCCCTGAAGTATTGCATAACTTTCTTTAAACAGTATATGAAGAAATAAATACAGCCTAGTTTACATAACTTTCTCCTAATAGAATATACCGGATTGCCCTTTTTTATAACATATTTCTGTAAGTTTATCAAAACATGATTTTGAGATGCACCATTTTCTTTTACACTGACAATATCCCTACGATAGCTACATAGAAATAAAAAATATATACCGTAATTGGGAGATAATTATTAATTTTTTCTTCTAGCTGCATTTCTAGTCCGCTTTCATCATAGATGGGCACCATTTCATCATAAGCACATGCACAGACACGACAGTATTTCCATAAATCAGTGACACCATCCTCCGCTGTCAGTTGGTCTGGAGGGAATTCCTGCTCCTCTGCAGGAACTTCCACTTCTGGCACAGATTCAGACTTCGGTGCTTTCAGCACCACGTAGTGCATTGTGCTAGGCTCAGGGTAGGGCTCCATTGCATCCACCCGTTGTTTGATTACTGTGGCTTTCATCTGTCTTGCCCTTCCTTAGCAGGCAATTTTTTCAAAGTTGATGGAAGGAGAGGTTATTTTTTAATATATATTTTCTTTCAATGTCAGTTTTCTCCCTGTAACTTCAGTTAAAATGAAATGAAATTAGGAACATCATTCAATTTCACAATTTTATGGGCAAAACAAGGTAACTGCAGAAATTATATATATTCACACACAAAAATCTACATGCTTAAAAAAGCAATGTTTATTTAAATAGTTTTTTATTGTTAATTATATCTAAACAAATTTACACTTACTTGTAGTTCTGAAAACAGATGCCAATGAGCTGAAAAACGCGTCAACTGAAAAATCAAAGAAAACAAAACTATTATAGTTTCTCTAAAGAGATTGTAGGCTACCATTAAAATATAAAATGTTAAATGTATTGAACCAGGTAAAAGTCATTAAGTTATGCCTTAAAATTCACATCACAATCTTTGCTAATCCGGTGAAGCCAAAAACAGTATGTGAAAGTAAAACTTCATTAAATGTTTAGTTTTGAATTTCCAGAAGAATTGCTCTTTTAGAAATCTTAAGATCACGTAGTCCATTTTAAATGGCACTTCCCTCCTAAGAAATCTTGAATTTGGGACAATCAATTTCTAAATTAGATAATTTAGCAAACATGACACACTCACTGGTAGGCAATTTCACTCCAAAAAAATCACACATAAATTAAGAAATAATTATAAAATATTGTTAAGATGGAGAAAGAGAAAAGAAAGAAAAGGTAAATAATTAATTTAGGTTTTATAAAAGTCTTAATTTCATAAAATTTAATCGTAAATGCTCCTTTTTCACTATTGGTTATAAGCATTTTACTACTGTTATCAATGAACATGACACGCAACCAGTCTTTCGATTGTTCTTTAGGTTTGAAGCATGCCATCTTATGTGATAACGCTCAGGCAAGAGTATTGCCTACATAGATTTCAATTATAAACAGCAGTTAGAATTAGGGGGTTGATAGCATCGTCTTGACTTATACTGCCTTGTTTAATGCTTCAGTTAATGAGACTTGAATGAGATTATGTGTCGCTGAAGTATTGTGTGGGTCTTTAAAGAAAACATCCACAATATTAATTTTATAAAGGGGCCTGGATAAAAATTTTGCAGGCGCGCCTGCCCTCATTTCGTTATAGTACTGGTGTATGTGCCTAAACTTTCATGTAAGTACACTACTATTATTTATACTTTCTCGCACTTACTTCGTAAAAAGTTTTATAATCGTGCGCCAGAAGACTGCGAATTTTCGGCAGAAAAACTCTTATTGTCGGGCCTTGGTAACGAAAAAGTGGATAAATCCTATTGCTGTATGTAGTAAATTAGTTTCTTGAATACGTGGTGCAGCTTGAATCCAGGTTTTGTGGGCCCTTGATAAAGGGAAATCGATTAACGGCAAAACGTATGTCTGTACGTCCGTTCGCGTTGCCAAAGCTAGCGGCTAAACCGTTCAGCAGATGTTCACCAACATTGATATTCCCGAATTGGTCTGACAAACTCGAGGCTTAGGGAGTGTCAAACGAATATTTTCATTTTTACGGGTACTTCACATAAAGCCTCTACATTTTCAAAATTTTCTCAAAATTGGCTCCAATTTTTTTTATTTAACTCGGATAGCTTAATGGACGCTTAAGAGAATGGTGCACGTCTCCTGTTCGTTGAATCCCCTATTTTTCGAAAATTACAAATATAAGGTCATGTTCTATTCTTCTAAAATGAGTATTTTCTATATTTTTTTCATAAAATAAAATCAATTTTAATTCTTTAAACATTTTTCTCAAAATCCTCTCTAATTAAAAAGTACTTTATCCTTGTATGTAACGGACGGAAAAAATATGTTCTAGTCCCATTTTTGGCGAACTCCCCGTATTTTCGAAAATTGAAAATATTGGGTTGAGACCACGAAATCTGTAAGACTTACAGATTCCATGGTCGAAACAATTACATTTTTAACAGTCGGCCCGATTACAATCCGCACGGCTCCGTAGCGTAGTGACATGGGTGACGGTGAGTGAACTCGGAGGAACTGAGTTCCAGTCTCCATGCGGAAACTAATTTTTGCTGATATAACACACTTTTTCGTGTTTATGTAGTAGTATAATATAGCGGAGCAGTTAGGAAGTGCGAGAAAGTTTGTGCTGCCGTAGCACTAGTTTAACCTTCAACAAATCAAACATTGAACGTAGTTGAATAGGAAAGTAAATCCAACCGAATAGTAACAGGGGAAAATGTGCTTTTCTTTTTGCAATGCGTCCGTTGAGTTGTGAATCTTCTCTGAAGAGTTAAATAATAATAATAATAATAATAATAATACAACACCATAAACCTGAGATTTTCTTTCAAACAAGGTGTTGACAGGAATGGATCCTTCCGAATTCCTAAGCAGATTCGTCTACCCATTGGTGGAGACGTTCTCCGCGGTCTGCCTCGATTTTCAAGAAGCTGCTTAGCCTGTTTACTTTAGTGAATTGCATACTAGACTCGCTTTCATGAAACATGCAGTTATTTTGCAATTATCTTCATTGAATCACCTTTTTCACATGCCGTTCAATCTCAGTGGTCTTACACGACCTATCTAGAATGGTCAATTAAATACACAACATAAGAAAACCACGTGCACATCATGCGATCACAAACAATTCAAATAGAACAGAAATAAGCCGACAAAGTTTATATAAAGGTTTAAAGAGGCTTTATTATTATGACTGATGAAATTCCAATATTTGAACAGTGATTATACTCTGCATAGCCGGAAACGTGGTTCACCGACTGCTGTCTTGTGTTAATATGTTAGGGTTACTGATTAAAAGTGATTATTATTTGTCCAACGAGAGAACGAAGTAGATGTTAACATTGCCACGTGGGTAGGTAGTCGCTGCGAGCCCGCGACAGATGCTTCCTCGGACTTTTATAAGTGCACGCGTAATAAAAAAAGTTCCGTACTATTGAAGTAAATGCTCGTAAAATACAGTAGAAAATCAAATGTAAGCGTGTCAAATAAGTATAAATTAATATTATATGTGTTACATGTATGATGCGTGTTACTTTGAAGGAAAGGGGTAAACGATACACACACCAAGAGAAGTAGTTTGGATCTAATGGCGGACCGCGTAAAGTGTGCTTGTACAGCAGTGAATCCATTTCAGTTGTGGAGAATGAATAAGCGTAAAAAAACTGGCATTACGTCAAGATCAGGTGTTTAAAATTGTGGGCGATTGTGTAAGCAACCTGGCTATTGAGCGCATTCTGTGTGGTGCATTTTCATTAAAGAACCATGACAATCCTCACAATCACCGTCGACTGAAATTGTAACACATTCGCGAGAAAAGCCGACAAAATGGAATGGCGAAACAACGGCGCTCTTAAACTTATTTTAAAAGCATTAAATTAATTACACAAGAGGGATACAGAACTTGCAATTGATAGAAGATATAGCCATTGTCAGATTCAGAATGAAAGACCCTTTACACGTAAGAAACGAAAAATTTTCATGGTAAATCAATGACAGTTTACTGCAGTGCTGTACCAATATTGGGTTTACGCGTAATAAAATCCAGCCTCGTATCGAGATGACCTGCTCGTGTTTTTGTGGGGTGCAAGTGTCGTGTCATCTTACCGACAATGATGTTTATAATACTAGAACGCGGAACTTCATGCAATTGCATATTTTTACTGATTGCTATATCGCAAGAAAACGTATATAACTATCACCAAAAATAAAACAAATCTAGCCCATTTCATTTTGCCTATTTACATATTTCTGAGATTTTTTCTTTAACTGCTTATTTTAATGAATGCGACATATTTAAGTGCCTATATTACAAATTTTTGTAGAGAAATAGGTCGAAGTCACGTATTTCTCTTTAAAAATTTGAATTGAACCATACCAACACTACGGTACAATACCAATGTATTTCCGATAGTCTTCTGATGATTGTTTCCCCTTGAATACAATATATTTCATGTACCTTTATTTGTGTGCATGAACTTAGTGAACTAGCCTAAATGTTTCGGGATCTTGTAACAATGCTAAAGACCCTCCCCCTTAATAATTCCGTTAGTTGTTTAATATGTTTAATAAGATATATTTTCACTATACGGGTTTGTATTACAATATAAAAAGACGATATACAGAGGCTCGTTTTAATATTCGGTCACCATCTTATTCTAAAGATTTTTAATTTTTACACAAGAAGCGGGACGAAAAACAATAAAACTGATATGTGCATTCAATAGTATGTTTATTGCAACAAATAAAAAAATATATTGAACTTTACATGTACATTTCGGAAAAAAATAAAATGGAAATAATAATACATGCCACTTTAATATTCCGTCATTTAAAACAAATTTATATAAACAATACTGACTACAGAACTAATATTAGCAAACAAACTTTAATATTTAGTGAGGTAACCTTTACGAATAATAACCTCTCGTAAATGTTGGGGCATATTTAACACAATTTTCTCAGTTTCTTCAGGTCTTCAATTTTTTCAATATTTTCTTTAGCTCATCTTTTGAAAAAATTGGGGGTTTCTTGACTTTCCTGTCGAGAATTTTCCAAAGAATCTCGATGGGGTTTAAGTCTGGGGATCGAGGAGTGTCCAAAACCTTTGAACAATTGTAAAGTAATCATTCTCTTACAATACGCGCTGTATTTTTTGGATCATTGTCTCGATAAAAATGAAATGTGTGTGGTATTCCCAAATTTTCGGCACTTTTGGCTTAGTATTGTCAGATAGTGTTCCTTATTCACTGTGTCCTCAATAAGTCATTTGACCCACACCAGCTGCTGACATGCACCCCCAAACCATGACGTTACCCCCACTGTGTTACCGTAGGTTGCAGATTTTCTGTCCAGTTCTGTATTCCCTTTACGCCACACTAGAACTTCCATCTGACTTCATAAGATTGAATTTGCTTTCACCAGCAAATATCCCATCTCGCCACCACTCTGCTGCATTGTGAAAGTACTTTTACGCTAACTCCAGTGATTTCCTTCAACTGACTTCGCTTACGTACGGTTTCCTTCAAGCTACTCGTCTGTTATATCCCACACTTCTTAATACTCTTCGCACAGTTTCTGAATGAAGAACCTTCCCACTTTCCACTCGAACCCCAGTCACAATTTTTGAAGCACTCAGACTCGGATTTCACCCCACTTTTTGGATGATAGACTTTCTCCCTGTCAGCTTTCTTTGTTGATCTTTCCATCTCTTGGAATCGATTCTATCCTAGTTGAGGGCAGTGTAACAGTAAACCGACGTTTTATATGCTCTTAATAACGGAAATGTGT